CCACCGGAGCGAGGCGTCCTGGGAAGTTGTTTTGGGCGCTGCCCCACCCGCGACCTGGGCGGCGATGGGCACGAATCTCCCGATACCACGTCAGGGTCCCTGGGATGTTGAGTCCGGGCGGCCGCTGGAGCCTGGCCGCCGTCGCAACCGGGGCCTACTGCTGGCAGTATGCCCGCGGCTTTCTTGGGAAGAAAAATAGTCTGTTTGCCTTCTTTTATTTATTTTTTTTTACTTATTGTCTCTCCAGCTCTCTGCCTCGCACTGTTGCAAGGATTATTGGGAAGAGCAAAGGTCTCTCCCTTCTCTTTTCTTTTGTTTTTGGGGGAGTTGCAGAATAGGGGCAGATTGTGCCAGTTTAATAGGGATGAGTGGCCTGGGAGGAAGTAGAGCAGTGTGACATTTAAGTAGTAAATCTGTGTAAGTTTTTACTGTAGGCATAGCACTATTGTATTAATCTACTCCGTTTGTGCATTAGGACCCAACTAGCCCTTGATGTCCAGTGAGGCTGATGGAGTAGGACATATTTATATATGTGTGTGTGTATGTATATATGCAAACATATATAAGACCGTTATTCCTCGTACGGAGCTTCCTTTAACACCTGAATGAAGACTTCTGCTTGTGTTTTCTGTTTTGTTTTTCAAATTTAGGCAGCACATGTGTTTTTCATTGACAGTGTCTTCAGGCAGCTTATTGTGTTGGGACCAAATTGTGTCAGGATACAACCATCCTGTAAAAGTGATATCCTGTAGTGCAACTACTCTTTATAAATATATCTTGAGTTGGATGCAGAAGCTTTCTTGTGGAATTTCTTTTGGGGTTTGATTTTCCTAACTTTGTGCTTCTTCATGTAGGGTAATTTGGAGGATTATGAAGAAACAGTAAAGAAGGCTAAAGAGGCATGGAAGGTCTGGGCTGATGTAAGTGAATGGGGACTTCTCTTTTATTACAGATCTCTGGCAGAGACAGGCTATTAAATTCCCCCATAAGGTGGAGGTGTAAAAATGTGTTCACAATGTGTGTGGTGCATTAAAGCAAAAATTTGCAATGGAGACCTCAAGAAACAAACCCACATAGTTAGTGTGTGATACCACTGGGGTACAAAGATGAGGACATTGACCTGTGGAATATGTTTGTTTTGAAAACCCTGGCAGATTTACCGAGTCTTGTGCTTGTGAGCTGTTATCAGCAGGTCTGGTGAAGTTCAGAAACCTTTTAGCAAGTAACCTGTCCCTGCTCATGTTTCACTTCCTGTTGCCCCCTGTTTCCTCTGGGAGAACTCTGTGGAATATTTGGATGTATAATTTTTGTTGATTATCTTGTTCTCGTGGTGTGAGGAAGACTTCTGGTTATAAACATGCGGGTTTTTTGTTCACCTGCTGTCTTGGTATTTCACAGAACAGCTGTGCTCAAAAACATTAGTGTTGTGTTGTAAATAGCTAAGCTATTTTTCCTTAGCAAAAAGTATTTCTACATGCAGTTGTACCAGCCAGCACCCATTCTGCTGCTGATGGCTGTGCAGGCTTGGTTCTTGCAGCTACCTGTTTTTCCTTCAGTAGAATATGAAACCTGGATTTCAAAAGGTCATGTACACTCTGTGTTTCAGCCAGCAAAGTAGTTTACCTTGTCTGAAGGCAGCAAAGTTTAGGATGAACAAAACAGCTTCCTCAGGATAAGTTAGTATGTGTTCTTTTGTTATGACTTCTGGGTATAATGTTGGTGACTCATAACATGTTTGGAAATAATCTGAAAGCAGTCCAACAGATAAAGAATCAACACATCAAATGTTTCATGAAGATTTTTTCTCAAAGCTATTTGTTATTATTTTGTGAATTTTGTTATTTGTAATGAGCTTACTTGAAATATATTGCCTGTAGAGGGATACGCTTGCATGGTTTATGCTTGTCTACTCAGTCTTGTTTTTACAGAGAGCTGCTGTTTTAGACCTGTAAATCCTATTGCATATGGTTTGCAAACTGATCTTGGCTATTGATTATTGTTTACTATACTGATACCATGTTAGAAAATAATATTAAGAGTTGGTGTATGAGCTTAATATTTTCATGATTGAGGTTTCTATGTGTCTTAATTTCTGCTATCAAAGTAAATGTCACATTGGAAGAAAGTTTGAAAGTGTGGTACTAAGTGCACTTCAAGGTGCAGAAACCAGTTAAGTACACTTTTATGAAAAATACTTGTTTCTTGAGGTGCAGCTGATTGTTTGGTTGTTATGGGTGATGTAGTTGAACAGAGTTAACAATCTGAATATTCAGTGAAACTAAAGTTTTGAACAGACAAACTGTTTGCACTATGGTCAGTCTCTGAGGCAGGAAGTAGCTTCTTGTGAAGCAGTGTGCATGATAAAAA